TTAAAATTCAAAGGTTGATCGATTCTCAACTCTGACTCAGCTTTGTAAATGTGCACTTGAGTTGGCTGAAGTACAAAGTACACAATGAGGTAAATATTTTGGAATGCTTCTTGGTAAAAGAAGGGCAAAATGAGAAAGCTGTCTGACAATGCATGTCCGTTCGGATGCATGTTATCAGCTAAAGTGTATACCAAGTTACATCTCAGTTCCGCTAGAAGAAATCAGAGTTTATAAGTAGCTATAAAAATAGCTGAATTTTCAGGCTTCTATGAAATTTTTACAGTTTAGCGTTTTAAAACATATGTATTTCAGGCTTTCTTAAACATTTTTTTTATTTTAAGACTTTTCAATTTTCAAAAACCTTAAAGCACGCAACTTAGGCATTTTTTCCAAAATTCATCTATTTTCGAACACTAGAACTATTACTTTTATAGGGTGGCCCATAAGTCCTTTGAGCTGGAAAAAAAGGAATAAAACCAAACTAGTTACATTATGAAGAATTATTATATTTTGTTATCATCTTTATTGAATGGGAATTATGTTTTAAAAATCACATCGTATAAATGCAATCCATTACGATCACGGCACTCATATAAACGACGTCTAAAATTATCGATGACTGCGCGGCAAGTCAACACTGTAATGCTTGCCATTTCTCTTCGGATATTTTCTTTTAGGACATCAACTGATCGCTGAGTGGTGTCGTACACTTTACTCTTGAGGTAGCCCCATAAAAAGAAGTCCATTTGGGTCAAATCTGGACTACGTGGTGGCCAGGAAATGTCTCCTCTTCGAGAAATTACTTTGCTGGGAAAAAGTTGACAGGCGACGGGCATAGAAGTGTTGGAGGTGTGGGCAGTTGCTCCGTCCTGTTGAAACCAGGTCTGTGTATTATAGCCTGGAAAATTCTGCAACGCTGGTGTCAAAAACTCTTCTATCATTGCTACATACCGCTCCGAAGTAACAGTTAATGCGCGACCTCTGTCGTCCTCAAAAAAATAAGGGCCTACGATGCCATGCGCTCACATAGCAGCCCAAACTGTAACTTTAGGGCTATGTAAGGGCTTCTGATGCTTACGCCTTGGATTTTCGGGGCTCCAATAACGGCAATTTTGTTTATTTACATGCCCGTTTAAATGGAAGTGAGCCTCGTCCGAGAACAACACATTATTGAGCGAAGAAAATCGATTCAACATTTAATTCGCAAAGTTTAGTCTCTGAATAGCGTCATTATCTTTTAATTCCTGCACTAACTAAATTTTGTAAGCGTGCAGACGTAAATCTTTCCTAAAAATCCGCTGTAAAGATGTTCTGGGTACGTTTAGTGCACTGGACCGCTTACGAGTAGACTGGGTAGGATTTTGACGAACAGACTGTGCCACAATGTTGATGTTTTCTTCAATACGAGTTGTCCTTGGTCGACCCCACCGCTGTTTAACTAACGTCGAACCAGTCTCTTCGAACTTAGCAACCCAGTTCTTAATCGTTTGAGCTGTTGGACACTTTGTAAAATTGTGTAAATTGTGATATTCTCGATATTTACGCCGCGCAATGGTTGCCGAATCATTATTTTGATAAAACGCGCGCACACAAAAAGCACGATCCGCTCCAGTGAAACACTCCATGGCGACTGAATTCCCAGACACTGAAGATACTGCCCCCACCTCGCCCGCGCCGCTCACTCTCACCCGTTAAATTTTATTCAAATTTGAAATTTCAAAGGACTTATGGACCACCCTGATCATAGTCTTTTTATCCTTAAACCATCACAAAAGCCTCAGGCCTACACACCCATGGGTATCGTGGGGATACATGGACAAGGGAGAGAACACGTGTCAATGCAACATGCACATTCTGACACCGCCTGACGTTCGATAGTCAGAGACCGTCTACCACCTACGGACGCATCACAACATCCATAGAAAAGCGAAAAACTCTATTGGACCGGGCTTCTTTCAGTTTTAATTTTTTGTGGCGAGCGCGGTAGAGCAACACTTTAATTTTTTTATATGCTATGTTTCTTAGGGACTCTTATTACAGATTTTGAAAACGGAAAGTTACTATCATGCGCGAGTATAAAGAAGCTAAGTTATAAGTATTCGAAAATACGTAAGCTTAGACAAAAATGCCAAAATTGCAAACTTTGGGCTTTTAAAGAAAAACCAACAATCAAGTATCAGAAAGGAAAGATGTTAATAACAATTTAAAATATATGTTTTAAGAAACTTAATAGCAAAAAGTCCATAGATAATATTGTATTGAAATATTAGTAATTTTCAGGATATAAACCCCGCTTATAGACATTAAATCATCGACTAAGTGATAATTTTCCGAGAAAGATTTTTCTAAGTGAATGTGTGGCGATACTCGTATTATGCTTTCTTATAATTAAATGCTTAGCAACTTGCAGCAGTTGTTACTTCTATATCTTCGTTAAAACAGTTTTCAAGCGGAGTAGGTCAAGACGTTTCTAAAACAAAAACAGAACTTCTAAATTGATGTTTTACGCATAATAAGTAGTCCAGCCATAAGATAGGCCTAGAAGAAATCTCCGATAATTGAATGCTAAGTAAGGTCACTTAAAACCTGCCGGATCTAATTCTATCTGAATGACGCTTTAGCATATATACTCAGTGTTCAAATATGTCCTTTAGCTTTTTCTACTGAAAATTCTGTTTCTGAAGAAGATGCAGTTTTATTGGTACCACTCAAGATATCAACAATGAAGTTTAGAAAGGTCCGACAAGCTTATAGATATACTCAGTGACAGTAAAAGTGTTACACCCAGAAAAAAGTATTTCTTCAACTTGGTTTTTTGGAAATCAGGTAGTCTTAGATCAAAGAATGAAACGATAACATTCTCACGAAATTTTATTGACAAGTAATAAGAAAAAAAAATAATGTAGGTAAGGTAATCGATGTCTGGTTGTTGAACCTCATTCCAAGCAACCCGAACTTCGTGGATTAGCTGTGGCAGAGTCAGTGGCGGATGGTGAAAGGTGGATAGTCTCCTCCCACATATGTGCGATGGGATTTAATCCGGTCATCGGGATAGCCACGCCACGGTAAAGCAATAGCGCCTGCTTCTTGAAGAAAGTCCGTAGTACGACGAGCAATATGGTGACGTGCGTTGCCTTGCTGAAAATGGACGTGTGGACGGCCATCAGTTACGGTAGTAAAGCGGTTTGTATGATATCGTCAACACAACGCGCATACTGTCTTGAACAAGGAGAAGGGGTGGTAAAAACATCTGCACTTCTCAGCTCTTTAATTATAGTCATTATATCGCCAAAAAAACGAGTTGAAGAAATTATTGTTCTGAGTGTAACACTTCGAATGTCGCTGAGTATACTCGTATGTGCCAAGTAATTGACAGCGTAGTAACTAGTTGGGGCCATGGTATCCATGGAAAACAATTATCATTTATCTCGACAGGACTATCTAGTCCTAACGCAATATTGCTAATTATTTCACAACTTATAACCAAATGATTGTTATTCCCATGCAGATAATCCCTGGTCTAACAATCAGATCTAAAAGCTCCTCAGTGTCTTAGCTGGCTATCGAGTAAATAGCCTTATTACCAAAGGAAGCCATAAAGCATATTTTTTGCCGTAACCCTCAATCAAATACGATATTGTGGTTGTGCAAACGCGTATATAATCAAATTAGAAATTACAGGCTTTTTTGCATGCATACGGCGACCACGTTCTCGTCCAATGCAGGTAGACGTACGTACTCCAGTTTGATCGTTGGGACAAATTGCATGGTGAAATAGTATATGTGTATGTAGACTACTGAAAGTGACATCACTCGGAGAAACACCTTTCGAGTTTGCTCTTTTCGATCGATCTGCCAACCTTCACAGAAACCAGATGTTTTTTCAGCATTGAACAGTCTTGGCAAAGAGGTCGCCTCATTCGAACGGGTATCCAATTTTTACTGCTGCCAAAGGTCGCTGCTGATGTGTCTCACAGCGGCCTGGACAACACCCAATTCTCAAATTCTGGGGAAATTTTCCCATAGGAGATATTCAGAGAAAACTCTTTTACGAAATAATGTTACAGTGATGGTTTCCTGTGGAAAAGCCGTAATAAAACAGATAAAAGAACAACACTGATGCACAAGAGTGCGCTCGTTTTGGGATTATAGGTATTGTATCAACGTTGTTAGAACGTTTATAGCTGCATTGTTATCTTATAAAAAATAGTTATGTAAACGCTGTTAGGTCATTCATAGAGCATTGTTGATTGGGTAGATTTCTAGTGACTATTTTCACAACCTCAAAACTTCAAGTCGAAATCTGGTTATAGCCGAGTTGCCGTAAGGTTGCTTTGGGTGAGAGCAATTTTGAATTTAACAACTTGTTGCGTGGTTATAGCACCATTATACATCAATGTGCCAATTGTAAAATATCATTCGTCCCATGAGAGAAGTTTTTCCATGATAATACCCAACAAATCGGTTATTCTCTCACTTAGTTCGGGTCGTAGTGGCCCCACAAAAACGTTGAGTGATCCTTCCTTCTTGTTAAATAGCTAGTGCGTCCGACGTCTGCTATTCCATTTCTCTATGTCTCTTCAAATTCTGATGATGATTGTTTGCCTGATACACCTGACTCCTGGTCATACCGAATCTAGAATCTGGGTCACTGCATGAGACTCTAGCTAGACCAGCTCATCAGCTCCCTCATTACTTGCTCTACAAGTAGGATGCAAGATAGCCTCACGGTACCCCACGGGTGTTTCGGCCTTCGGCCTTCGTGGTAGTTGGAGTAAAAAAGAAAAAAAACCTAAAGTAGACCAGAGAGAAACCAGCTGAACTAAATAAAGCCAATCTCCCTTTAAAACTGTCCGGATTTAGAGTATTTTGCCACTATTGCTACACTGAATCTTTAGGTCATCATGACAGCTTTACACATATGCTTGCTCCTGTTCCCTTGGAGAAGGTTCAGTCAATATTGTTGTACTGAAAAGTGGGATATTGATTAAAAGAATGGCTTTTACGATTCATAATTTAATTATAGGTAATAGAGATAGGTAATTATATTACGATGAACTTCAACGTTAAGCTCAATACCGTATTCTGACATTTAAGTCAATGGCTCATGCTCAGTAATTCCATTGCTTTAGACTTAGAACAAATGTCTGCCATGATTGAATAATTAACAAGGGGTTAAGAAACCACGTGTTTTACAATATTCCGGCACAAATGACAAAGAATGCGGATCTCGGTTGAAATAAGAGATATTTGAATTTATATAATACGAATGAATAACTTTGTTAAACTTTCCATTAACGTATGTAAATCCATACGACCAGTATCGTCAAACCTGAGTCGAATAGTATGCAATTTTATACAAATGTATAATAAATAAATAAATCACTGGTACTTCTTGTGATAAGCCTCTAATGCGATATCTTCAAGTTCGTTCGCCATCTGCCTGCCCGTTTCAAGAACCATCTTGTGAAAATGTCCCTCAGGGATTTGTAACAATTTGTGCGGATGATCGAATTCCAGTACACTTCCGGAACTCATCACCATTACTCGGTCAGAGTCCATTATCGTATTCAGTCTATGAGCTATTGTTATAACTGTGCGGTCTTTGAAGCGCCTTCGGATTGTCTCTTGGATGAAGGCGTCAGTCCTAAAAATAAAAATTATTGTATTTTGTACAAATTTTAAAGGACATTGATATGAAACTCAGATAAAAAATCACCCGTCAGTAGGTAGTTAAGCTGTGATAAATTACAGAGGGAGCTTCCATTTTCATTCCTGGGAAACAACAGGACAAAAGGGTATATTCTACCTTGATAAAATTTCGTTTTTAATATAGCTTATCATCACTTTTCATTCATTTATTCATAGGGACTATATTTAAATCTTCAGTATAAACCAATAGAAATTACGTAAAGGTAATATAAGAATTCTATATCCATTATAATTGAAGCTTAGCTTTTTGATTCCTATTTTCCATACTTTATGTTACAGGTAAGCCTTGATTTGATGTTGGTGTTTAAGTGACAAGTAAGTATTGAATGTACAGTGATTACTCATAAAATGATAATCAATTTTAGTCTACTAATACTGTAGTAACTATGATGCTATACCTTTGGTCTACATTAGCTGTGGCTTCATCCATGATCAGTATCCTGTTGTTTCTTAAAATTGCCCTGGCTAAGCATAGAAGTTGCCTTTCTCCTGCACTAAAATTTCCTCCGCCCTCTGACACCAGGAAGTCTAAGGAAGGAACTGCTAATTTCAACTCTACCTGAAGAGTTATACTACCAGTCAAAATCTACTATTTGCAGTTTTACAATAAACAGTACGTCAAAATATTTTAATGATGCTATTACTATTGTGTAGCATGTTTTACCTCTTCTAAAGCTCTCCAGATCTCCGCATCCCCAAATTCTTCAAAGGGGTCCAAGTTATACCTCACACTGGCAGAAAATAAAACAGGTTCTTGAGGAATAATTGAAATATGTTTGCGTAAATATGGTAGACTAACTTTCTGGGTATCTACTTCATCTATGTAAATAGCTCCCTCTAATGGAGCCAAGCGGAAAAGGGCAGCTATCAATGACGACTTTCCTGCCCCGGTTCTACCAACAACCCCAATCTGGAATAGCCACAGAAATAAAAAAACAGTAAGCAGAAGTTAATAACAGCACAGCGTGGTTGATCACCTTAGTAATATAAGAGACCTTCAAAAACTTACAGTAGGATAACTTTCTTAAAACTATACATCACTGTTTATTTGAAATACCTATACCGGGAGCGACTCTCGTAGGCGTACCTCAAATGTGTCTATTGCAAGATCCCTATTCAGAAAATAAATGTCCAAACCTTTAATTTCTTACCTTTTCCCCGTCACATATGGTGAAGCTGATTCCTTTCAGCACAAAAGGCTCGGTTACGTCGTATCTCAAATACAGTTGTTGAAATTGTATTGTACCTTTGCTAGGCCAAGAATCACTCGGCACATCTGCAATAGAGCGGAAGTGAAACTTTGTTGTGAAAGCAATTCAGTTTCTATATTCATAGTCTAAGATTCCCGTTCTGCCAGACATACCTACTCTAATAATAGAGATTGATGGATCAAACAAAAACTGTGACTTAGTGATTTTTTGAATTGCTGTATATCAGTAAAAATAGTCGATTTGAGGTGCTGAATTCAAAATTCAGTAAGCTGGAGCGCAAGAAAGTTCGTGACTCACAAATTCAGCCAATGAGAAGTTTTCCTTGACGCTATTGGATATGGATATGGTATACTTCTTATACAATGTCTCTCAAACCAGATAATAACTATGAGATCTGTGTAAGATGGGCCCCTAGTTCCCATATCAAGTCAAGAAATACATAATAATAGATCACTTTAATTTAGCTACAAAAGCGGCCGTGGTCATAAAGTGCACCAATGACAACCAAGCATTTGCGCCATACTCGAAGCATAGACACAAATTATAGATTGATAGGACTGCAACTAAGCATTTGAAGATATCATTGAGTGAATATTCGACTTACTTTACTATTGTGTGAAAAACCCTGTCCCTGAAGCCAGACTTGTTAGCAGGCACTTCTCGCGCTTTCTTTTTGGCAGTAGCCAGTATACTCTAGCCTTGCCACAAGTCACGCGGTACATCTCTCCCTTAACAGTATCTGTAACGGCGTCATGTCAATCTATACAGGACTGATTCATGCTTCGAGTAGGCCACGCATCGTTCTTTTTGTTCGTGGTATTTGCGTCAAGTTTTGTGTCCGGAGCCAAATAAAAAACAGGCTTTTGTAGCTGAACCATGTGCCCACCTTATACGCCGTATAATTTTTGTCTAGTTTGAGAGGCATTTTTCAGGAAATCGGTCAAATTAATTAGATCGATCACTTCAAAGACGCTTTGTCATCGATTCAATTTGTGCCAAAAACGCAAATTTTGATTTACGCCGGTCACGCCGGTCTTCCATAAAAAGTTTTTTGGAGCAAAAGGTCCTACGAAATCCTTAGAAAAATGAAACACAAAAACAGCGGTTTTTTATTTTTTTAATCAGGTCGTTAGGTCTAGAAAAATATGTTCCGCTAACCACTGTATGTACTCAATAGCCTATTTGTTGATCTTTAACTTCCTATTTTCAAAACCTCGATACGTCCAGTTTTCGTTGAGATACCGAATGCAAATTTTTATTAAAAAAGAGCTCATTTGGCTTTGATTATCGATATCTCGGGAGCCAATCGTCATTTGAAAAGTAGCTGAATGGATTATCCAAAAGTGTCAATGATCATTTTTGCAAAAAATGTTCGTCCTGGAAAAAACACTAAAAGGGGTGACGTATGCTTCTATTGGAAAGCCAAGGGGTAAAGGGTTCTTTTTTTGTTTATAAGTTGAAAAAAAATATACGAACTTTTCCACGTTTCTCTTGCAAAAGTCGTTATTATTTTTGAATAAGATTAAATTTGGAAGTTTTTAGTAGAAAAAATTTGCGATAAGTTTTTGGATCAATAAACGCGATCCTTCAATTTTATCGAAACTTTGATTGATTAGAACAAAAAAAGCACAGTTCTACAGGCTTATTACGGGTATATGGAGTAGTAACAATCCTACATACATTGGCCATTCTGTCAATTTAGCCCTTGGTTTCTCAAAAAATGACAAATTACCTGCTTTTTGTTCTGTCCATATGGAGGATGATAAGATGGTTTTCCATAAATGATCATTAGTCAAAAACTAAATATTAATTTCTCCTTTTAATTATATCATGTATTGCTCATTTTTCTGCGAAATAATAATAAATTCAGAGTATAACTGGCACAGCGTTGCACTTACTAAAATTGGAGAAAATATGTAAAAAGCTGAATCTGATCATGAAACTTCCTGAAAGTTCCTGAATCACCTTCATTTTACAATTTGAGGCACTGCCAAATGTCAACGGAGCAAGTGATAACCCTTGAATTTTGACTTTAATGTCACAAAAAAATGGAATCCAAAAGAAGCGCAATTAATCCATATGCAGATTAATTAGCACCAATCTTTGTTTTTATACCATTCAGCTTGGAAGGTGTTGATATTGATACAAAAAGGTAAGGTGGGAGAAATTACGTCCAGCTACTTTTGTTATTCCTAGGTAATTTTGTTCATAAAAATTGAATTTTGGGTCTTTTATTTTCTAATAAAAAGGTTTTGGGATTGAAGATATCTAGCACAAAATAATTTATGTTAGTCCCTATAAAATGCATATGAAGTGTTTAAGAGTTAAAGCGTCGATATTCATTGTAACAATATCCTACAAAGTATATATAAGAATCAGCCATCAGAATTTGCTATAGGGTGAATTGAGTTAGTCTTATTTTCAGTTGCCTTTCTCGCCTTGTACCGGCAAATCAACTGTTTACACAACTTGGACGGTACATAGGTGGCTAAAGTACATATTAACGCTACCGAATGCTACTACTTGCTTCCATAAAATAAATTACTTCTAGCACTCTATCATTAGACAATATTGGATTATAGTTGAATTGCTAGTACAATTTAGCCAATGTTCGCACCTTTGGGCTCATCGAGATGCTCCTCAGGCTCCACAGCCGTATACTGCAGGACCCTTTCTACACTAGTAAGGTGACTGATTACGTCACAAGCTTGTCGTAGACCATGCTGGAGCATCCCAGTCAAAATAAATGCCTGTTGCAGTGCAAGGCCTACCATGCTCCCGTCCGTGTTTCCTAAAACTGAAATAATGGTTCTACCTACATGCTAAAGGAAATATTCAGGCATATCTTGGAAATCGAATGGGTCTCAATTTTCTCCCAAGTACACTAACCTGATTGCACCACGATGAAGCTGAATGCAATACAAGCAATGAAAACTGCACATAAAGCGTCTATCCAAATGCCAAGGCCACACTGAACTGCTGCAAGTAACCACCACGATGATGTATTCACGTCCTGAAAATTTTGAGGTTACCATTGCAAGTTGCCCCTGTAGGTTCAGTTATCTCTTACTTGATGGCTATCGAACTGACGAACTAAGATATTTTCGATTTTGCATGATCTTATGCTTGCCAAGCCGGTAACTGTTGAGTTGATATAGGTGAAGACCGGAGACTTAGCTGAAACATGTACAATAGGACATGAACCAACAAAGTCAATTAAATCTGGCTCAGCCTTGATTTTTGAGATTAGGAAAAAACTGGAAGCTTTAATAGAATGTATGGTGCGTTCTGATGCTTTGGAAGAAGTAGCCAGTTCTCTTAAAGGCCAAAAACAGGATAAATTGTGACCTCAGGTATCTATTGTTACTCGGACCCGAAGAAGGCCACTAGCATAAATGCTAGTTACCTATGTAATTTAAGTCGATTTTGCTTCGTAAATATTACTGGTAACATGTACGTTTTTAGTTGAAAAATAGAACTCACTGACTCCTTCTAGATGCTTCAGGCCTTTAGTAGTAGCCTTGAAGGCTTCGTAGATCTTGAAAAATACAAATCCTAGAATTATGACAGCGACCGCTGCGTAGTTGTTTGCCACGCAAACGTTGACCAATATACCAACTACAACCATCCCTATCTAGAACAATGTAAAAGGTGAGTAACTTGTTATAAGAACGACATTACAATAGATATAGACACCAAGAGATAGCTGCAACAGATCAGCATTACTTGATTCTAAGGGTAGTAGTGTAAAGCGTTAGTAAACCGGAAAGTCGACTAGCAGAGCGCTCATGTGAAAAAGCCTAGCATTCTCACAGAATGATTTTGATAGGCTAAACATTGTTTACTAGCGGCCTTAGGTTTAAATTGCATTTCAACATAGTAAGATATCTTATTTCTAGCACGACAAAGTTCGACTCAGATTTATGTATATCCAGGGTGTAAAGATAGTAGTGGATTAACAAAATTGAGGTGATAGAGGGCCTCAAAACCTATCGAATTAACTCCGATAATGTGTGGTCCGAAATTTTATAGTTTAGGAGATATTTGCAATTTTGTGAAATTTTGAAAAAAAAACGGGAGAATGAACCTTCAATCGCAATTACAACTAAACCATTAGGGTTAGGGCTGTCATTTTTTCTGAGATGGTTATGTCACGTTTTACCAGAGCTTATTAGAAATCAACGCCATAAATCTCAAATTCACTTTTTTGTGAATAAACTCAACTTTGGAGGGCAGTAAAGTAATTGAGGTTGTATTTCATTATTCATTTTATTGTAGACACTATTTCAATCCATGTAGAACAAAACCTTGAAGATTTTAGCTTGCTAGGATGAGCGTGTCATGTCACAATCGTTGTTGTGATGCCTAAGAAACGCATTAGAATCCTTACCACCTACAAGTACAGAACCTCTTGTGTTTAGCCGCTCTTTATGACGACTTACAGACAAATGTAGAAGATTATTGAATTTAACAAGCTTTTAAAGAACATGTTCGAAATGGCCTCCATCTTTTTCTATACACAAGCGACACCTTCTGATAAAATTGTCCTTTAGTCTTTGAAATGAATTTGCGTTTTCCATAATTTTTATTTTTGCTTGGTCAATTTGTTGGCGCAGTTGGTTGACATTTATATATTCAGATGTATAGATTATTCCCTTATGGAACCTCCATATAAAAACATCTAGATGATTTAAGTCGGGTAACCTTGGAGGCCATCGTATGTGTCCACCTCTACTTATCCAACGCCCAGGAATGGCACTGTCTAAGTAATGCCGTACATCCCGTGCAAAGTGGCATGGGGCACCATCGCATTGAAAATACATGTGGCTTCGAACGTCCAAAGGTACATCCTCTAGCAACTATGCAAATTGCTTTCTAGAAAGGCAAGATATGATTGACCATTCAACCTGGCGGGCAATTCAAATTGTCCAATTAATTTTTTGTTGAGTACTCCAGCCCATAAATCAACGCCAAACTTACGTTGGAAGCTGTGTCGGCGAATAGCGTGTGGATTTTCCACGCTCCATAAATGGAAATTGTGTATGTTCAATATTCCATTTCGGTTAAAGTTGGATTCATCTGTCCATAAGATGCTGTCGAAAGAAGCTTCATCCTCTTCGCACCTTCTCAACATTTTCTCACAAAATTCAACCCGTTGTGCATAGTCGCTTGGAAGCAACTCTTGTACTTTTTGTACATGGTAAGGATGCTTGTCCTCCGAGCGTAGTATTGTGGTGTGCTCTGAAGTATGGGATATGCTTCTGATTCGGGCAGTGGCTCTGGTGCTTATAGAGGGATCTTTCTCGGCTGCTTCTACTATGTCTTCTTCTCTTCCGGCGCTCCTAGCTGACGATGAGTGCCTAGTAAGCGGCACTGCATATACGCATTATGGACGGGTATAAAAACGCGGTAGTCAGGATATACCGCCGGTTGTGGTCCACCCTTTCTAAACACATACTCCCGATACATGCGAGCAGCTGCTCGAGCATTTCCTAGGGAAGCACCATAATGGTAATGCATTTTGCAAATTTTCAGGGTTTATTCTACATGGATTGAAATAGTTTTTACAATAAAATGAATACTGAAATACAACCGCAATTGTTTAAACCGCCCTCCAAAGCTGAGGGATGGAAGACATTTTTCACAAAAAAATTAATTTAAGATTTTTTGCGTTGATTTCTAATTAGCTCTGTTAAAAAGTGACATAACCATTGCTAAAACTAACCATGTGGCTAATCTCAGAATAAAATTACAGCCCTAAACCTGATGGTGGAGTTCTAATTTCGATTGGAAGTTCATTATTATCCTGATTTTTTTCGGAGTTTCACAAAATTGCAAATATCTATACTATAACTATAAAGTTTCTGACCACACATATGGTCATATGTTTTAAGGCCCCCTATCACCCTGTATAAGAGAAAGACTATTGCAAAGCTTTACCTACCGACAAATCGGTCTTTTGATAACCGACACGTATTTTGCTAAATATGTTAACATCTTCAGTGAAAGGAATTCTTAATCTTATCATCTCTAAGTTGAGAAAATTGGTTTAGTTTAATGCTTGAGTACTGTATCGAAAGGCATAAAATCCGGTACTGATGGATAGCCTAACACTATCAAATTTAGCACTTCCTGCTTTTCAACGTCTTGTGGTTAAAAACGCGTTTTTGCACCCGTATTATGTAGAGTAATCCTTATGATAGCGATACATTTTATTTCCATTATCGTCACTTTGATGCTAGCACCGATAGTCCACGCCACGGCTATTTGCGGTGAACGCCATCTACGAAGGAATGGCGCAACGAGCTCTTTTGCTTATAAATACTGCGACCCACATTTCGTTGGCATAATTGAAGTAGCATCAGCACAGATTATTTATTAGTACATTAATCATCACTGTGTTTCCTAAAATTTATAGCTTAGGCCATAGAAGCTATGATTCGCCTACTCTGGAGTCAGCTCTGAAGCAGGCGTTACATCACATGACACCCACAGCCCATAGCTCAGGTATCCTGACGCTAAGATAACACACAGAGATGCTACAAGTGAATGATAGCTAGTGACAAGTGACAAGTATGACGATAAGATCGCCCTCCGTGTCATATTGCGGTCATGTATGTATTCGACGTTAATTTGGAACCCAATTTACAGCAGCTACATTGATTCTTTTGAGCATATTCTGAGAAGGTTTCTCAAACTTTTATCTTTTAAAGGTGACGATACATATCGTAAAAGTTTGTTTTTGTCTACGCTTCAAATGAAGTGCTTAGGAGACGGAAGTGTTCGTCAACTATTTCCTTGCATAAACATCTTGCTTGCTTCTTTTTCTTGTTTGATATTTTATTTAGATAGAATCATCTGCTGTTTGTATGTTTTCTATTTTTTTAGTTTGTTTTGTCTTTTCTTAGCATTGTCCTGTACATGGTTTGCTTAACTGTTGGGAATAAACACTATTTATTTATTTATATTTATTTATGGGCCTCGGTTTGAGATGTTACTCACACGACTTTGCTTTGGTGTAAAGTCATCTTGAAAAACTACATCATACCGCACTTCAACCTACCTGAATAGTCTGAATCAAATTCATTGGCAGCAGTTCATCCACAGCTCCCACATCCTTGGAAAATCTGTTCAATATCCTTCCACTGGGATTTGTGTTGAAAAATCTCATCGGTGCAGCCAGAAGGGAGGTAAACATTGTCCGATGTAGATTGATTGACGATAACATACACATTCTGAAAAACATGATCGAACGCGCTACCATGAAGACTATGACAATTGCCATCAATATTCCATATATCGAGATTGCAATATCTGTTTTGAAAATATGGTAGATTTTGCTTCTGTATATAAAGTCATCATAAAAGTTACTTGAATTTGGTTTCTGACTCATGTTTGAGATATCTGTAGATAGGTTGTATGAATAGTTAGGTAGTTTATTTGGATATATGTTGGGGATGTGTATAGTTTCGTTATTTGATGTCTGTAAATGTAGAGGATTCGAGGCACCAGAGTGTCTTATTTCTTCTTGCGTTGTCCTGAAATAAAATAAAGTATACAGCTTATTCGCTCTTTCCGCTAGCTCGCTAGTTTTCATCCAATTCACTTATAATATCAACTTTTCATAGTTATCCCTGTTTCCTCAACGTTTAATGCCTGCTAACTGTTGCTGACAGACAAGAATAAAACTTTACTAACCGCTTCATTAGCATTTTGTGAAATATCAACACCTGAAAACTCAACTCGGTACCATGACGGAATAAGTGCCTTCAGCTGCTTCACATACTCACCAGTAGGCTACCCAGTAATCATTACCAGAGCACATTCCTTGTGACAGGATGAGCACAACGAACAGGGAAAAAATTAAAAAATTATCACTGCTGGCCATAATGTATTCCTTCAAGGGAGACTTGACTTGATGTTTAACTGTATCTGTTTCATTGTCATCAAATTGTTTTACGTCACAGATATCTGATGTTGAATCGATACTCTACAAGAAAGTGATAAACTTAAATAGTAAAAAAAGTTAAGCTGCTTGTATGTAACATTATAGTGCTATGGTTTTTGATCCAATTTTCACAGTAAATATTTTCAATGTGATAGCACATTGGGCCAAATATTCGGTATCGTTAAACTAGCCTTTTGCATCTGTCGGTGACAATCTAGAACTGATGTAACTATGCTTAAACTAAGAAAGATAATGAGTGCGCTGAATACACATAATCTTACACTTGTAGATCTTGTAGAGCTTCGGACACTATTTCTTCTGATTCCGATATCATCATCATCATCTACGTTTTCGTTATCCTCCTCTTGAAGCTTGAGAAGCTTAGAAAAGTCAAGATTCTGTGATGATAGCTCGTTATATGTCCCCACAGCTTCTATTTCTCCTCGATTGACCACTATGACTACATCTGCCTTCATGAGAAATTGCAGTTGATGTGTGACTAGGATTCTTAACTTTCCCCTAAGGTACTTGTAGATGCATTCACTGAAGAGGTGTTTGCCGACATGTGCATCCACAGCGGATAGAGGGTCGTCGAGAAGGTATATGCTTGCTTGTCTGCAAATACAGCGGTTTCTAAGAGCAGCCGACTCAACGTATGCGTCATTTGAAGCGAAAAGTGGGGGATTCAAATACAGATTAATACATAAATAGTTTGACGTTGTGTGAGTTAAGGTCTGGTTAGAATATTTTATAGCTCTTGTTCCACTGCCTATTATCGATTATAATTATTATTGAGTACAATAATAATAAGCTATTATTGAGCTCAATCGTTCTCAGTAGACTTTAACAGAAAATTTTGTGAACAGCACTTAACTTCAGACTCCAGTAATAAGAAACCTCTCCCAACCTTACAAGTCCTTTACCAGTAATAAAAAATCTACACTAGAGTTTCTCTAAATCAAGACGAGCTTTTTTGGACGACAGTCCTTTGTTAGAAAACACAACATTTTGAACATAGCATTAAAAAGCTTTGGGCTTATCGGGCGATTTGGAACAAAGATTCGAGCTGACTCAGCTGTCTTATTTCCTCTATGCACTTCATATTTTCTAGTCGTATTTTGGTTTACAAGCCCATGACGAATATCCATGCTAACTCAAACGTGTTTGATACTTGCTCTGAATGTTGACCCCGATTATTGCATCGTTTTCCGAAAAATGTTTATATGCAATCGATTGAATTAAAGATCCGAAACCCACCTATATACAGCTCTAGCTAAATTGATCCTCGCCCTTTGTCCTCCGCTCAGTGAAGCTCCTCTATCACCAACCACTGTATGGTCTCCATACGGAAATTGCATAAAGTCCTTCTTCAAGGCACATACCTTGACCACCTTGTTGTATCTTTTTCTATCATACGGCAGTCCAAAGATTATGTTCTGTCTTGCTGTGGCTGAGAAAAGCCATGGCTGTTGGGAAGCATAAGAAATATCTCCACCAACTTTGGTCGTTCCACTGGAAAATGGAAGCTCTCCTAGGAGGACCTAAAATTTTGAGAAAAAGTCAATAGTTATATACGATGATTCTGAGAATGAAAAAACTATTGAAAATTAGGTAATCATAGTTGGAGTCAACTCTTCAGCTGTTCTTAATAGTTGACATAGCAGTACCATAAGTTTACTCTATTATATGTGCTCGTGGGATAACAACATGGACGGTGTTCCAAAGAAGCTTTAGGACTTCCAAATTTAATTAAAAAAGTACTATACATTCTAGAAAAATGTTTTTATTGAAAATAAATCACCAGATGTACGGACCTAACTTCCTTTATTCCACGAAACACACTGGTGGAATTTTTTCATCGCATTTTGCATAATACGTTGAAACATAGCATGTTCAACTCCTCTTATTCCGGAAAGGGTAGTTACTTTCAGGTTAGCGATATTTCTTGGAGTATTGCTGTAAGCTTGGGATACCCAAAGGAAAGGTGTCAATTCTGCAAATCGCAGAGGCCACATAACAACGAAGGTGTAACATCAACTTGTGTGAAAACTGTTTATAAAGTGTGTCCATAATGAGATGTGGGATACCTTGTATATGTGTGAACAATGCCATATGATTCATTATCTTAGAAGTGGCGCTATACCTGTATGATAGAGCTCTTTCCTGCACCAACTGGACCCACAATTGCGCATAGAGAACCTGGCTTCAGATGCAGCGTGATATGTTTCAGGGTTGGAACGACTTTGGTCCACGATGCCGAGACACTACTCAAACTCAATTCTCCCTTATTACACTTTTGTATACGTGACTCTTCTTTTTCTTCGAGGGCCAAAAATTGTTCTAGCCTTTTTAGGGATACCCAGCACTGTGATGTCGAAGTTACTGCCATAGGGTAATGGACAGCTGCTTGTAGTTGAAGAAAGTTGAATAACTGTCCCATTGAAAACACTTTATCTGGGGTTAAACTGTTACCTACAAGTCACATAGTTTTGAAAAAATCCTCTGGAACTCCTCATATTAGTTATGCTCACCTAACAATACATAGCAAACGATTGTAGTGAACAGTGACAGCCTATCAAGGAAGACCATGCAGCTGTTATAGAAACCATTTAGGTAGGAGGATTTTGTAAGCTCATTTACCTCACTTTTTCTAATAAAATGAATGAGATTCTCAAAAGGTTTTTCCCAGGTATACATTTTGATTACTTGGATTCCACTGACGATTTCTGTCATCATTTTTACTCGCTTATCAGTCTTTTCTGCTATTTTCAGCCTCAGTCTTCCTGTCAGTTTACTTAAGTAACCTAGGGATATTAAGATAAGAACACATGAAATTGTTTACCTATGACCTAAGCGCAAGTGAACATCTATCATTTGTCACGCAAAAATACGCATACACAGTGGCCTAACAGTTAGAGCTCAGTGATGAATGATATTATCCAAGATATGAGAACCGTAGTCAAACAAGCTTGAACAGAAACATTTTACCGAACACGTAAAGTCGAAAGTTCGCCAATTTCCTCCTAACAGACAAGGTTAAAAGTCGTATTACAATAAACTCCAAATTCTTTCCTGGATTTCAAAGAGCAAGGCTTAGACTTTAATTTAGATAGAAGGCGACCTGAAAAATTGTTTTTATTAACCGAATTTTAAACATTGAACATACCCATTTTTAGGGTTTTTCAGACATTAGTCGCTCATAACTCGAAAATGGTCAAATTCAGAGAAAAGTTATAGAGACCTTATTTGTTTAGAATAATTCAGATAGTTTCCGGACAATGCCACTCTAATTCATTAAAAAAATATTTAAATAGATTTTAACTTGGTTACCCTGCAGTATATTAAAAGCCTAATTTTTCCAAAAATCTTAATTGAAGTTAAAACCTTGCTCTGCAACACCCCGAAAAGTATTTTAAGATTCGTTTATTTTAAAGTGATATTTTACCTCATTTGTTAGGCCAAAACGGGCAAACATTTGATTTTTACAAAATGAACTCGAATATCCGCACGAACAGGCGTAAATGACAAATAATCTAAAATTGAGTTACGCCGTAATTTCGCAGATTTTTTTGTAGTCACTTACTTCACGAAGTGTATATCAGTTCGCTGCTAAGAATTAAAATTTTCAGAAAATTGCCTAAGTTATAAAATTCCGAAAACAATTTTCACATACCGGCTTAAATAGATTTACGTCTCTGCGTTAAAGCTGGTTCTACATCATTTTACTCTAACAAATAAAAAACCACAACGTTCAGACTAAAAAATCAGTCTGTCATTTTCTATCTCATTTATTGCTGATTTTCGTTTTCTAGCTCTCCTGTAAGATTTGTAAAATGTTAGTTACGCCGGTACGTGCGGAGACCGACGATATGAGAACATGCACATAAACAAAAATTTCATAACTTCTGGCCTAGTCAGTGTCTTAAAGACGAGAAATTTTAACACTGGTTTCTGTATGTGTGCATATACTACACCTGTCAGGTATCAGTAGTGAGTTATCGGCGTAAACTTGAAGCTAAAAGTAAAATTTTTGCATCCAGTGACGAACGATAAAAATTCAGTGGCGCTTACGTTGGCAGCTTAAAATAAATAGTACCTTGCACAGGCACGCTAAATATTGTCATGGATAATACTCCCGCTAAGGTGGAGATACCCACTTGTCTCCAAATCAGGTAGCAGATGATAACAACTTGGATGGGCAGTATCCAAAACGTGTGCATATGTAAGAGCATCGTATCAATCCGGCACAAGTCGTTGGACAGCAGATTGATTATCTGGCCTGATGATGTTGATCTACCTAACACGTTTTGGTTCAGCCTTATTATCTGTCGAAAGATGAAGACATTAGTTTTACTATTGGCGCTGATTAACGTGTTCTCCAAGAAAATGCCCAACCCTTTGCTATATTTGGACGTGCACAAACAATTTAGGACATCGGAATTCCAGTATTTCTCAACGTCGAAAAATGAAAATCTGTAACTTGCTGCAACAGACCGATGGGTGGTAATGCAAGCACCTATACGGTGATAAGCACGATATTCAAGTTATCCTGAAAGTCGAGACTTCCCTCTTCACAAACAACTACGTTTGCGATAACAAGGTTAACTTGGGGTAAATCACGTACAAAAGAAATTGAAGGAAAACAGTCACTATTCATTTTGTACGGCATTTTAAGTATTTCCTCGTCACATGTTTTGTTTGTTTTTAAATGAGGTTTGTTTTTAGACTAGGTCAACCCTTACACCGCGCGATGCCTGATTTATTCACAGTAGCACAAAACAGCATACTTTTTCAACAAACTGAATATTTTTTTTTCTTATACTCCAACTACCACGAAGGCCTAAGGCTTAAGCACCCATTTGGTACCGTGGGGCTATATAAGGGGATACATGGGAAAGGGGTAACGCCACACGGACTCTGGCAAGGGAACACGTGTGCATGCAACATGCACACATTCTGGCTCCGCCTACGAGATCTGCCGGGTGGTACCTCCGCGACAGACAGTGACCGTCTACCACCTACGGACAATCACAACATCCATACTCAAGAGAGAAATTTCTCCTGGGACGGAACTCGAACCCGCACAGCGCACGGCGACTGATCAGGAGACCGAAGAGTCTACTACTGCGGCCACCGCTGCTGCCTAGACTATGCTCTGCTTTCGTCCGTCCGACGTCCGACCAAAGCCAACAATGGACAGCTGTCTCGTGCTTTTAAGCTACTCATCAGCACGGTGCAGGCTTGCGAACAACGAATGGAGGCATAGCACTATACATTATCAAAAGTGTGAAATCAACCGAAATAGGCAAAGCGTCACCTACCACTAGAATTGACCTCCGTGAACAGTTAGTAGCACCCATGTATCTAGTGGTGACATGGTGACTGGAACTTAAATTCGAGGACTACGATCTTTACAGCTTTCAAAGTCCCAAAGTATATTTCTATTCGCAGTGGTAGATTCCAGCGGTGGATGACGCTTCTTATTTCGTTGGATTTGGGTAGGAAGGGATGGCTTGTTCAGAGTTTTCGAAACGTTATTTATGTCGGTTATCTTGAGGCTTTGATGAATGCGCTACTATGAAAACTTGGTTATTATTGCGTAACATATACGCTATGTAAAGGAAACTCCCAACTCTGAGGTGGCGCTTTCGTTGTAGGCAAACACGTAATTGATGGCATCTTCCTATGGAATACATTCACTAGTGCTTCTTCGTTGAGATACGCTTTATTTTGATAAGATAACACAAAGATATTACCAGAATCGACCACTGCGAAAGTTAAAACAGCAAGCTGACTATGGGAATTGTATCCCAGTTCACATTGTCAGCCACGTCACCACTGTGGTCGCTAGATGGCGCCGATTCTGGTACTATAGGACGGTCTACTAGCAATTGAACAAACAAGTAATACAACTTTCGGTCGTCTGACCGCAGACGACCAACCATGGACTATTGAGCATCCAAATGTGCACGTTGCGCGAATCTCGCTATATTCATGGACTTGCCACGTTAACAGTGGCGTACTATATATATCATATTTGATTCATGTGTATCAATGGACCAATAATAATTTGACCTTACCTTTCGATATACTAGAGTTGATATTGAGGCCCTGATTTTTATTCCAGTTCTCAACATGCCACAGATGCAGTGATGGTGAAGCGTGTTATTAGCTAGTGCGAGTAGAACTAGAGCCGCACTTGTCAAATACATTTCACTTGTATCTGCTCGTTGTGAAAACTGTCGTATTAGAGACGCAAGAACTAGAGGTAAAACGTTGCTAAAAATACATAAATAATAACTAAATATCCATTTTCCGCACCTACATTGCGAGTCTTCAGCGTGTAATCGGTTAGTAGCTTCATTATTATGCAGTTTACCAAAAAAGTTATTAAAGAGAATTATAGGCAAAAACAGGCTCCTAACTCCTAAACCGAATATGCCATTCACTATTCATAACTACGTAGCAACATAAACATAAGATGCTTCTCACTCCCACGCCCACTGGCGGGAAAGTATTGTGATCGAGAAATTTTTCGAAAATGTGATATTGTTAGGATGTTTTGTGACATGTACATCACGAAAAAATATCTCACTCATTTCCGTCTGTCCGTCCGCTGATTCTATAACCGCCTATAACTTGAGAAGTTCGGAGTTTGAAAGAATTCTTACACAATGCTACTAATACACCAAGGACGTAAAAGCTTCATAGTTTTTTAAAATCGATCTAACGGCGTTAGAGAAAACGCTCAAACACGAGAATAGAATAATGGTTGCTGAAATTTTCAGAAGATCGTGACCATTTTTAAAAAAAAAATTAGAGGTAAACGATTTGTTGGTGGACTTATAGGCGGGTAGTGACGGAAGAACTTTGATATAATACATTCTTTAAGATACTTTATCTGGTTTGGACGTTTGTTGAAGTCAATAGCGGATCAGCAAAAGACATCTTTGCATTCAGCATGTACTTCTTGTTCGCAATAATATATCTGGTGAAACTCAGGACCGTATTCAGAACTATTTGCATCAAACACCGCCAATAAAAAAATATACAAATCAAAATAAAATCATTTTTAGAAACTACGAACCAGTATAAAATGCCACAAAGAAAATGATACGATTGTTGCTAGATAAAGGGCTTTTATTTGTTGACACGTTGTGCCGTGATGAACTATCCTAAAACATAGTATAGCATACAATAGGGTTTGGATCGCCACTTTTGTACTAGATCAAACTTCTTGCTGAGAAGACGACCTTCAGTTCATATTGAAATGTATAGTGTGTTTAATTGAGTAACTTCATGTTTTTGTTATCGCGGAGCTATGAATCGTCCTGAGAGCGGCCCATTTTTTAAGCAAAGAGCATATATTTTCATAGGTAACTTTCTTACTAATTCATTAAAATGAAGAGAGCGATCGACCGATTACATACTGAAAACTCACCGGTATACGGCATTTTAGGGTTGCAGACCCTTTTTTTCAACAGTCTGTTTGAAGAAGTATCGTTAATACCTTTCATGTGATTGTTTCAAGTGTATATAGATGACTAAAGAACAATAACTTATCATTTATTTTTAAAAAATGCATTTTTATGCATTTTTTCTACAATTGTAACTTGTAAGCCAAACAGTACAGCTCTGAAATTGTTAGAGAATATTCCACTTTTATACTAAATCAGAGCAGGAAGTAATTTTTCTTTTATAATTTTTTTCCTCAAAAATTTTGGCATTTCTTGACAAGTCCGTTTACAGTAAACTGGGTTTTGAAGAAAAGGAAAGATTTTTTGAAAAATAAAAAAAATAATAAATCTATTATTGTATTCCTACGGCTTTACTGTGATTTGTTAACAATTTGCTATTACAAGGAAGATGCATTTTTTACAAACATATTGTTTTACAGTGATCCCTATACATATATACCACACTCGGACGAAAAGTATTGAAATGCTCCTCCAGACTATTGAAAAAAAACAGGAATGTGTGACGTCTCATTTCTGTCCTTGAATAGAGAAAGAAAAAAGTCTATGAGTCAATCAGATATTCAAGTCTAGGATTCATATAAGTTCTGTGCGTCCTGGTCTATCAGGCCTGCAGGGATGCTAGGTTTGTTTGCTCAGATATAAAAAAGTAAACTTGAGAAAAGGGAGAAGAGTAAAAAAAGGAATCGGGGGGGCAAAGAGGAAGAAAAGCGTCAAGTGGAGGGGTGCAATTGCATGGCTAACAAGGATTCGGAAAAGTAGAGTGAAATCAACAACAAAAAGAAGAAAGGGAACAAAGTAGTATGTAGTATAGTAATTGGGATGCATGGTCATATTTCAGCAATTTTTCTTCAATATGTGATCAACTATCGACTATAGCATAAGAAAAATCTGTACTTCTCTTACTTCAGCATAGTATAGACAAATAACATTATTCCCCATCCAAAATACTCCAGTCCAAAAAGCTCGCAAAGACATATTGCCAACCTAAGCTCCTTTCCTTTGGCCTCCGATATCTTTGCTTGAGAACGTTTTTCGAGTTGGTATCCCAGCTCACATGATTCGCAGTCTTTTGGAGTATTATACAGGTCCCCAACTTCTAAATTCTTGGCTTTAGCTTTCCGAAGTAACGGTATAAGATAGCTGGAAAAAGAAAAGTATTACAATGATTCTAACTCACTTGTTCCAAAATCAACGCCGGAGCTTATTGTTGTAATCATAAGTCCATACTTACGAGAAAGAAATCTTTGAAAACCAGTTGGCATCTTTGACTGGATTATCAAGATGTAGTTCGTAAGCTGATTCCATAACACGTTTTTCTAGCTCCAAAACTGCACGTTCTGCCTAATACTGCAGTTGCTCCTTGTCAGGACATGCTAGTAGTCAACGATGGTCACAACTGATACATTCCTGGCCCTTGAACCTATTTTAGATAACTTTTTATTAGTAAGTAACAGAGATCGGTGATGTTACTTTTTTTTATATATCGAAGCAGCCGCGTAGGCAGAAGCCTAAATGCCGGGACACCGCGGCTGCTATGATGATCCCAAAGAAATTGTGCTAATCCGATTTTTGAACTGCCTAATGATAGTAGAACTGGGAAAAGCTCTGTATTGTAAATTGTTTCACAATATCGACACCCTCGAGACAAAGGAGCGGTCGTATTGGCCAGTTTCGGATGTCCGACGTTCTAAACGGTTAGGATGGGAGGCCAAAGTCAAGCGGGTCTGTCTGACAAGCACATCGCGCGGCGTCATGGAAAAGAGTTCTGAGGAGCAAAGCCTGTTGGTGTAGCGGTAGAAGACAGTTAGATCGACGACGGCCCGCAGGTGCGAAAGGGTCCCGAGACTGCCTGTTGGAGAAAAGTTATCGATCAGTCGGACAGTCCTTCTCTCGACAGCATCGAGCATAAGTAATGTAGTCGGAGCGGCAGCGCCCCAAACCTGTGAGCAAAACTTGAGGCTAGGCGTTATCTGGGCCTTGTAAAGAGTGAGACGGTCGTGCGGAGTAAAGGACTTCTTAGCCCTAAACAAATAATTTAGCTTTTTCACAGCAGCTGCCGCAATTGACGAGATGTGTTCGTGCCAGATCAGGTCCTCGTTGATCTGGACACCGACCAGCCTAAATAATGACTCTTTGGCAGAACTCGTCCATCCATTGAAAGCGGATGAACGCACGCTTTTTGTTCGTCAAGGTATAGTACTGTGTTTTGGAAGCATTAATCCGTACAAGATTATTGAGTCCCCAGGCAGTGATGACCTCCAGGTCTCTCGTCAGAGACGAAGTCGTCGCTAGTCTTGTTTTTTTAGTTCAGCGGCAATAATCGGCATGTCACTCTGAGCTCCTGCATGTAGAGTACTGTCATCAGCAAAGCTGTGGTTTATGTTGATCGTGTAGGAAAGTAGGTCGCTAATATGTAAGAGGAACAGTGTCGGAGCCAAGACCGATTTCTGGGGAACACCCGCGTTGACGTTGTGGGATGAAGAGGAGAACCCGTCAATTACGACGGATATCTTGCGGCCAGAGACAAAGTCAGTCACCCATCTGCAAAGCTTTTCTGGGAGGCCATAGGATGGAAGTTTGCATAAGAGGGCAGTGAGCCACAGCTGATCAAATGCTTTCGTGATGTCAAGAGCAACGACATGAGCTTCGCCATAAGACTGGATGAGTTTACTCCACAATTACGTAACGTAACCTAGGAGGTCCCCTGTGGATCGCTGGTACCGAAAACCATACTGCTAATCAAGCTGTGATGTTCTAGGTATTCCAGAAGCTCGCGATTTATGCACCTCTCCACCATCTTACTTATAAGCTATAGGCCTGTAGTTGTAAGGGTCGGACTTCGATCCTTTTCTTGGGATGGGCTGGATGTAACCAAATTTTCAGTTTTCTGGATTCATAGGATATCTGGAAGAGATGGGAAAGAACTGGATCAAGCTCCGCTGTACACCTCTTCAGTACAATGGCAGGAATCAAGTCCGGACCAGAGGTTCTGTTGATGTCGAGCGACAAGAGCACTCGTCTTACGGTCTTGTGTATGAATGCGAGTGCGAAAGGGAACCCTTTGAATTGGTGGAACTGGGGCGTTGGGGGACATCCATGGTGGAGTTTGCGGTAAACATCTTGGCAAGCACTTCTGCCTTGGTCTTTGAGTCGGATACAATCGTTCCATCCTGACACGTAAGTGGTGGAAGGCTGCTGTGTGAGAAGTTCTTTTCAATCTGCTTGACCAGCGTCCAAAAAGACCGACTGCCATTACCCTGTGCCTAACTGTTATACTTCAGACTAAACGAATAAACTGGAGTTTTTTCCTACTTTGTACCCTTCAATTTTGATAATCATCTGTATGCTTAATGCAGAATTGGTTAAGAATAATAGCAGAAAAAAAGTCAAGGATAGAAAATTTAGATACTTAAACGAGACAAAGAAAACGATACACTATAGATCACAAAGTACGAAGAGGAGTTGATGAATCAGTACCCAAGATGGTCCTGAACTGGAGCTTCTAAGGACCAAGAAACATAGGAGAACCTAGGTTGTGATGAGGAAAAAGACATAGATGATTTGAGACAAACTGGGATATTCTGATTTGATCTGCCACGTCTGTATTTGAAATAGCTGTTCATTAAATATAATCAGGACAAACCACTCTTACCGATATTCGTACGACGTCCGACACTGTTAGGATGGGAAGAAGTTAGGCGGGCCTATCTGGTAGATACAATTGTACTTACAGCACTTTCAACAAATTATTCAACCTCAAGGGGTGATATTCTTGTTTTTTTTTTGTTTCAGGTTTGCGAGTAATAGAATATTTTAGCTTGAATGTTTGAAATTGGGTTCAATACTTTTCATTCTGGGTACATATTTTTCATTGCACGTAGCATGAAGTATGCTACGGAAGTTTCTTGTATCATCAGAGTTGTGAAAAATGTAGCATAACTTGTATGTCGGCAGAGGACATTTTGGGATCAGTTTCTACGGTAACCTATTTTGTTATTGTCTGGAATGCGTATCATACTAAAAGTATTGCTGATGTTTTGATAGCACGTTGTCGGTACCTTGCCTCTTTGCGAGAATGTTTGTTTGTGTTAGCTTAGAGATACATTCGTTGGCTCCATCTCGCCCCATCGAAAATTTTCTCGCCAACGTAAGGGTATGCTTGTCACCCTCAGTGTAACAACTTACTTGACCATGGCGTTCGACTTTGAGCTTGCCTTTTATTGATATTCGTAATATAAAACAGCACTACATGAGAATGCAATTACGGACAATATCGATAGTTGCAGCATATTGAGAAAGTGAATGAAAGTAATGTTCTGATATTAGTCGATTTATGTATGCAGGAGCAGCTGCATTTAAGATACGTTTGCCAAGTGTGCAACATTTCTATGGAGCTTGACCTTCGCATATGCTTCAGCTAGTCGATCTGCTTACTTATTTCATATGGCATTGATCACGTAACCCCTAAAAGTCGTGAAAAACTATACTTCTCTTCCTGTTCCTTTTCTTTCTGTCTTTGACAGGTACGCACATCTGTCTCACCCTTGTTACCACGGGTGGTATACCTGCTGGTCATCAAGAAACACTCGTTAGTGTATCCATGGTCACGATCCATTCACGCTACTGTATCTTGTACGAATTCCAACAATAGTGAAATGCTACGGAAGTATGCAAAAATTCATTAAACGTGTTCAGTGAGGATGCAGCTACAAGTGGAACGTGCGAAAGATGGTTCGAAAAATCCTACCTGTATATGGGTGGACTTGAAGTTCCCGATAAACCATCTTGGAACGGACATTCTTTGATCGACGACAAGAAGATGTTAAGACAAAATCATTTTCTAACATCGGGGATAGTGGAAAGGAAAGATTCAGCTAATCAAACTATTTTGGACCATGTACCTACTGAAATTAATATTAGCATGAAAATGTTTGAGATGGGTGCCCCATGCGTTAAGTGGGAAGAGCTTGAATGAGAGATTCATGTCATCCACATCTCTGTGTCCACGAAGCAAAATCGGACTTTTCTGGGATGAGGTAAAAACAGAGGGGATGGAAATTTCGTGGCGAGTAGGTCATATTGTGGACCAGAAAAATCCGCCTACTCCACCTTTTAATCCAGTTTGAACATTAGCAAGAAAATGTTATGTTTATGATGGGACATCTGCGGACCAACGCATTACGAGCTGTTAGAACCGAATGAAATGCTGATTTTAGAAAGGTAGAAAGGCAGTAGTTAGATAATTCTGGGACAACCTTAAATAATAGGTGGCAAAGTTTAGTAGACAGAAGAATTATAATATTGCCCGAAAATTATTTGACGTTCTCCATACGTTCCACGCAGCATAGTTTCCAACTATCATCTATTTTTGTCGATACAAGATTTTCTGTATGTCAACACAATTCAAAAAGTAAGGCGATATCCAATAAAGACTGCATTGTTCGCATCAAGAGATAGATGTTTTTATAAAAAATGAATGTATCTAACACCTCGGCAAGAGGAAATACATATACGTATATGATCATGGACCTTATATGTAAATTTAACCAAGGTACGAAAAAGATGTTATTTTGCGTTGATCTATAAATGGCGTCAAGTAACTTGACTCTGCACGGCGTAGGCAACGCCGAGATCAGTTCAGAGAGGACTATATTCGGTATAGGCTAGCCCCTCTGAAAGAAAAGTTAGATATGGACATGTAAGTGTATACCAACAGACCAGATTGATCAAGTCGTCACACAATCTCATACAATAAAAATTTACATCTGTTGCATGATTTTATGTGGAGTGGAGATTTTTTGATTGCAGCAACCCTGAGAAACTTGCTACCCGCTCTTCAAAGCGTTCTGGTGGCCGGTACACTTAAACAGAAAATTATCTCTTATCGACGAATGCCCCCCTCTCTGCTGAGAAAAACTACAACGATCGCCCATGAGCGTTATTATGATTAACCTTGCCACTCGTCGTTTGAGGCAGTACTGCAGCCACTACCGGTTCATCGGCCGGATCACGTCTCCCCTACATCCAGAGACATGTTTGTTGGAAGTGTTTCTTTATCGTCCTAAGCCTCTGGGGCATATTTAGGTGCACCGATGAGCCTACGATTATACTATCGTCAAAAAAATTAGATATACTTTTTCCCAGACCCCACAGCCCTCAATTTTCAGCCCCCCTAAAACATCAAAAACGAGGTTTGAGCAAACTTTATTTTTTCTGTTTTTTGCCTTTATCTTCGCCGCCACGACCAATTTTCAAAAACTAAAAACCTTTTTTGTGTCCAGCATGATAGTAACCAATGTAAACATTTCAAAATCAGCGTCCGGTACTTTCCGAGCTATAAACGGATCAGACATTAGCGCACAGACTACCAGACAGACATACTAACGGATATGGGTGACATGGTTATTCGTGATGTAGATA